CAACTGTCTGACGGAGGACAATAGGTCGAAGCTGCTTGGAATTGATCGTCAACAGCTTAGAAACGGTATATGAAGATTCAAAGCATTTTTCCTTTATTATTTCAAACTGTGGATTCAAAGCAATGCATGTATAAATTTAATAGTGGCCCTAAAAGTGGGTGTATATGAAAATACATCAAATGGTGGCCCCAGATGGAGTTTGAAGCATCCTGATTTATTAGAACGACACTTATTCTCTTGTAACAATTGATATCCCCATTTCTTTTGATTTCTTTCTTACTACTTTAACGGGAAAGAAAACTTTGATGGATAAAATTCGTGGGAAGGAAAGAAAATACATTCTGGAAAAATCCTCAAGTGACTACTACAACATTTTATCTAGGGGAAGTTTAGCAAATACCTATGCGGTGGAAAATATTTACCCGCTCCTGCCTATTTTTATTTTAACCCAGCCAAATAAAATCAAATTAAGCTAAATCAAGCCAAGCCATATCAAGTCAAGCCAAGTCAATTTAATTCAAGCGAAACCAAATCAACCCTAGTCAAATCAAGCTAGGCTAAGCCAAATGGTTAAAAAAAAGAAGTTAGGATTGGTGGGTAGGTAGGTTAGATAATTAGTTTTAATTAGGTAAATATATATTGTAAATAATTTTCAAATGAATAAGAAAAGATAATTATTTTAAACTCAAGGGTATTTTACATAAATTACTCTTTTATCTATTGGGGATACAATTTGTAGCATAATCCACAGGAGGCATTAAAGGCGTGGAGGTTTTCAAGAGAATATTACTGATAACACATTTACGCTTTCTTCCAATTGGGTTTGCTAATTTTTGAGAAATTTACCTGGAATACAGCAATCGAAAGTGTTATTTATAAAAAATACAATCACTTTTAAAAAATTACTTTATATACAATTCAGTACAACTTTTTCACTTTTTAATTAAACTAGATACAACTTTAAATATGCCTAAAATATCTCATTATGGGACTTGAAAATAGGGATTATGCCAACTAACACATAATCCCTTAAATTCAAAATAATCTCACACTTCTCTCTCACCTAATCCGTGTAGACCATTAACTTTCTAATATTATATTTTAAATACCGTTATTATTTGTTAAGAACTGTATTACATATATTTTTAATAAATATAAAATATTATAATATTAATATACTCAAAATCAATACCCATATATTATATTAGTAATCAATGGTATATTAATTATTACATATTTAGTATACGGTGGATATAGTATAACATATATACACATATATGCGCATATATGTGTGCGCGCGCGCGCGTGTGTTATATTATTCCTTTTCTATTATATATATATATATATATATATATATAATATATATATATATATATAGAGTATAGTATAGAATATACTGTATTTCTTCTATACATTAAATTAATCTATACAAGAAATAAATATACCTCGAATAATATAATTAATTAATATATTTAAATACTTATATATTAGTATACAATGAATATACTATAACAGATTTCATATATACATTATATAGTATATTGTATAGATTATACAAACATAATATAATAGTATAAGATAATATGCTATAACAGATTTCATACTTTTATTATAATTGACTCCTATATTATATAGTACATCTCTCATCTATTTTTGAATGGTTGCATTTGAATTGGGGTAGATTTGGTTTGGCTTAATTTTAGGGATGTAGAGATATTTTAGGAAAATTTGATTGTTTTTGAATTGTAGTCGATTTGCTTAAGTTTAAATTTAGGGAATGTTAAGAATTCTATTAAATTCTGCTACAATTTTGGAATCTTCATTTAGTATAGGTTGAATAATGTCCGTAGAGAGAAATTCTTTTAATTTAAATATATATTAATTATATAAAATAAAGATAATGATGTTGTATAATATGCAAATCAATAGCTAGTTGCAAATGATGAAATATACTATCTAAAAAGTTGTAGTTATGTAAACTTCCCCTAATTTTTCCTCTAAATCCAGTCTTTAAATAATGAAGTAAGTCAATGTTTTTGGAAAGTCCTTTTGTTGTTGTTCAAAGACCAATTTAGTTCGGAGGTTTCTGATCACTTTAGCATTGGTTAAAAAAAAACGGGAAAAAGGTTAAAATTGTTCCACTACTATTGTTTATTGGTTGCTTGTGCCACCCGTTATACTTTTGGGCCATTCTTGTCCCTATCGTTAATGAACTTTGAATAAATACCCCTAACTCTAACGTCTATACACTGTGGCAGCTGACCACATGAATTTTATCCAAGTCAGCTGCCATGTCAGCTTCCACATCAGCGGGCCCACCAATTTAAAACCCCACAACACCCATTTACTATCTGTCTCTTACCAACAATTAGGGCTCAAACGACCCCAATCCTTTTCCTTCATCTTCAATGTCTCAAGGAAGCTGTTCTTCCCAAATTAGGTGTCGTTGTGGCATCTTTGCAAACCACTTCACTTCAACGACTCCATTAAACCTTGGAAGGCGATTTTTTAAACGTCCGAAGCCTAAGGTTAGTGATTGTGTAACAAAAGATCTAAATTAGTAACTGTTTGCTCTAAATTATAGTCTAATAATAACGATCTTAGTTTCTTCTCTGATTGTTTTGTGTTCGGCAGAATCGTTCTTGTGGTTATTTTGAATGGGAAGATGAAATCTCGTTCTCCGGTGATTTGGTTACAAGTAAAGATGTAAGATCATCTTGGGAAGCTATTAAAAATGATAGGGAAAAATTTAAAGAAGAATTAATTGCCCTGAAGGCTCTACACAAAGCTGAAGCTGCAAAATAACGAAATTGGAAGAGAAGGTTTTGAAGACGAGGATGATGCTTATGATCTCATGGGCATTTTTTGTTGGATTTGTTGCGGCGTCAATGATGAAGTGAAAGTTGATGAATCTTGTTGATGATGCTAATGAATATGTTTTGTTGTCAATTTTATTGTCGTTTGGAATTGGATGAGAAGGTGTTATGTATGTTGTTTTTAACCTTTTATATTAGACCTTGTAATCTTAGTTAATGTAATTCGAATATATTAGTTGTCAATTAGTTAATATAATTCCAAGTTATGAGCTTGTAACCGTTTATATTAGAGCTTATATTAGTTAATGTAATCTTAGAAGTTGTCAGTTCATTTGTGATGAAATTTTCTGTATTATTAGTTGATGTTATGGGTTGATGAACACAGCATTTATGTCAAAAAGTATGAAAAATTTCACAACTCCATTCCCAACCTAAAATCTGGACAGTTTCACAACATTTTGGTCCAAAATCTGGACATTTTCACTACACCAGTTCTGTCAAAATCTGGACACTTTCACAAAGGCCTTTTTTGCGCCAAAATCTGGACAGTTTGACAACATTTTAGTCTAAAATCTGGACATTTTCACTACACCAGTTATGTCAAAATCTGGACACTTTTACAACACCATTTTGGTTCAAATTCTGGACAGTTTCACAAAATAACTTGTTGACAAAATCTGGACAGCATCTATAACTCATAAATGAACACTTAAACAATTCATAAACACTAATTTCATTCATCACAAGGGGATGTCACATTATCACCCCAAAAACCTACATAAACAAGTGACAACATGACATCAAGTTTCCCAACCTAAACATTCAAACTACATTAAACCACAAACAAGGGGATGTCACATTATCACCCC